AATTGATCGTGGTACTTTTACAGTGATCAAACCAAAGGTCGTTTACAGAACGTCGCTCTCGTCACAACACGCCTGAAGGTCTCTCTCTCTCTAGCCAGTTCTCCAACCCTATGTGCTTTCATAGTCAACGCACTAACCTTCGCGGAGGTCTGCCTCTGTCTCGTTTTCGGGAACTGTGCCCTCCATCGTTGTTCTCTCCAGGCCACTATAGCATTAAACATGTCCAAGATACCCCAGCTTTGGTTGTTTGTGAGCAAATTCTCTTCGATGCTTATGCTGTACATTGTTTACTTCAAAGAAAGGGTAACACTAACGCTTTTGCAAGAAAGCGTGCCGCAGAATTTGCTGGATCAAAAAAGGCGTGCTCTCCCTGTCCGCTTCTCGCAGCTACCTTACCAGGTGGGGTCAGTCCCCGTATTTGTTGCCTTTCCTTTCTTCTCAAACAATTTACAAAAAATTCTAAAAACTGGATAGTTCCCCCTCTTAAACTGGATCTCCCAGTGTATGTTCCGTTGCCTCATTGGGGGCCAGGTTTACCTAACAAGCATGTCGTAAAAAAAAGGGAAACGGACTCATTTTCACCCCTTAGGCGTATTGGGCATATAGGGCTAGACCTATATTTTATAGGCCGCTCAGCACTTGGTGCGTGATGTGGTCAGCATTAAGCCGGCCGAAGCAAGCATGTCGTACAAGGCGACTAATTTGCGGTGTTTCCTTCGAAGTCGAAGTGTATCTGCATGAGAGACAGTGGACCAACAGTCTGCACACACAAAATAAAGCTAGATCTGTAAAACGGATGTGTACACAAAACTCGTTCTGGATCAAGACCAAAGTCCAGAGGTAGACGAACAACTAAAACGTTCCACTGGCAGTTTACAGACGAGAAACGCCAAGAAGAAAAAGAAACTGGATCGAACCCAGAGCCGTTTGGTCGCGAAAAAAACACACCATGAAACTGCTGGCTAGAAGAAATAAACAAATAATGGCATGCGTGTGACCTGAAATGGGACCTCTTTTCTGTTATTCCTGGGTTTGAACTGTTACACAGTAGCAGGGTGTTAGTAGAACCAGAAAGGCAAGCAAGGAATAGGTTCACTGAAAACTACCACGCATGTTGTAGTAGGTGAATAGGAGAAGCTAGCGTGTGGCTGGCGACTTTATCCCGAAAAAAAACTGGCGGCAAAATCTAAACAATTATGAAGAAGTGGATACAGATTTTGGTAAAAGTTGCTTCTCTGTTTATGCTAATCTGGGAGCTAAAATGTAGCAGCGGAAACAGCAGTAGTTAACAGCAGCTGCAGCAGCACAGAAGAAGAAGACGAAGAAGAAGAAGAAGAAGAAGAAGAAGAAGAAGAAGAAGAAGAAGAAGAAGAAGAAGAAGAAGAAGAAGAAGAAGAAGAAGAAGAAGAAGAAGAAGAAGAAGAAGAAGAAGAAGAAGAAGAAGAAGAAGAAGAAGAAGAAGAAGAAGAAGAAGAAGAAAAAGAAGAAGAAGACGACGAAAAAAAGAAGAAGAAGAAGAAGAAGAAGAAGAAGAAGAAAAAGAAGAAGAAGAAGAAGAAAAGAAGAAGAAGAAGAAGAAGAAGAAGAAGAAGAAGAAGAAGAAGAAGAAGAAGAAGAAGAAGAAGAAGAAGAAGAAGAAGAAGAAGAAGAAGAAGAAGAAGAAGAAGAAGAAGAAGAAGAAAAAAGAAGAAGAAGAAGAAGAAGAAGAAGAAGAAGAAGAAGAAGAAGAAGAAGAAGAAGAAGAAGAAGAAGAAGAAGAAAAAGAAGAAGAAGAAGAAGAAGAAGAAGAAGAAGAAGAAGAAGAAGAAGAAGAAGAAGAAGAAGAAGAAGAAGAAGAAGAAGAAGAAGAAGAAGAAGAAGAAGAAGAAGAAGAAGGAGGAGGGGGAGGAGGAGGAAGAAGAAGAAGAAGAAAAAAAAGGAGAAGAAAACGAACAAGAAGAGGGGGAGAAGGACGTTAAGTGGTAATAATTACTGGAAAACTAGTTGCAGTATAGCATAACTGCACATAGTATTGTATGAAAAGATATAGCACACTTATACAAGCTATGATAAGGGAGGTGTTAAATTCAACCGAACTAAGTATTTGCAACGACAAAAATGATAGGATGAAAAAAAAAAAAGGAGAAGCGAACAACAGAGTGTGACGGTGAACAGGTAGGGTCGGTGTTAGATGTTAGAGATCCACGGATACAACCTTCTTTGTAGAGACAGTACCTCATTTACTGACTATGTTGAAAAACATCCGTTAAAAGTATGACTCACCATCGAATGTAGTGAACACATCACGTTAGTAATTGTACGAACTTTAAAGAACACATTGGACTATCACACTAGTAATTGTACGAAATTTAAAGCAATCACCAATATACCGAAAATTAGCTTGTGTCTTTACCCAACCCTGTTCCTGTCAGCCTTTCTTGGTCACCTTTGTCTGCCTCTTTCTCTGCTGATCGATCATTCGACAATTTAGGTAAATTACCCGTGTTAGCTAACGACAACTGATCGACTTGTGGAATAATGACATCTTAACAACTATGGCAACAGAGTTATCTCCCATCATTCACTGCACGAGTAGTATAAAACAGTAACTTGTTATCTCCCCCCTTTTATAGCGTCTGCTTGATTATCTCCCTGAACTTGTCTTGAGATTACAATTAATTCAACCCGTGGTTCCCAAGTAGCTAAGACATGCTAACATCTTTTTTTTCCCGAAGATCTGCCAAAGTCGTCATACTTTCTAATCATCATCATCATCATCATCATCATCATCATCATCATCATCATCATCATCATCATCAACAAGTGCCTTGCCGACTGGCGTGGGCTATCATATCGCCCCAGTTAGCGATCTTCATGTTTCAGTCGTGTGTTGACACCTCTCCATGCTACGAAAAAATGCTGTCAAAAATAGTCTTGTGTGGTCTTTCACCGTAACTCTTTCCATATATCTGTCCAAGGGTGGCAACATATTCCAGTCTGCTTCGCCTTATAAGATGATCAACAACAACCACATAAAAATGATGATTGTCTCTTTCTGATGTTTGTGATAAGTTGTCTTCGAGCTTTCTTTAAAAATATCTGCTTTGCGGGTTTGTTTTCTTTCTGTCAAATAAATAATTTATGTCTTTTCTCATAGTCATATTTAAAAAAAATATATATTTATATGAGAATCGCAAAATGTATTCTATTCTGAAATTGTGTTTTGTTTTTTAGATCATACCCCGGACCTTACATTTGTTCCGCAGAATTCTGGGACTCAGTGGATCACCAAGCGAGAAACAGTTGGATCGGAGAGTAATGCAATCATCCAAGTGATGAAATGAAATTAGTATTCTTCTTATTCTTCTCTTCCACTATGTACCTTAACGAAGTGTCCGGGGGGGGGGGGGGGGAGATATAACATTCGTTGATGAGCTCTGTCAAGAGCACTATTAAGACTGATGTTCATTTCTGTAAGGCTGTTCTTAATGCCATCACTCCATATTTTCCTAGGTCTTCCACTAGCTCTATACCCGTTGTAACATTTTAGTGTGGCTCGCTGTGGCAGATAGTACCAGGGCATTCTTGCTAGGTGTCCAAACCACTTCATTTGTTGTTCTTTGATGACCTGTAAGACTGGCTTTATTCCAAGCATTCGTCTCATTTTGTGATTTCGTATTCTCTTTCCACGAAACTCCTGCAGCTTTTCTAAGGCATTTTGCCTCTGTTCATTACAGAATGTAAGTGTCCACGTTTGGCATTGATAGCGTAGCGTTGGCCAAAAAATAGTTCTGATAAGATTCACTTTAGTACTCCGGGGTATCTGCTTGTGCGTATACTTATATATGACGTAAACTATTGATGTAGCGGTGTGCCCTGAATAAGTTTTCTCAAGCCAGATACGCTAAGACGAACAGGTACCAATTATGACACAGTCGATATGTTAAATGACTCAATGCCGACGATAAAAAGAAAGTAACAGTTCCGTTTGAAATCCTTGAGATGTAAGGACAGGTAGGTAGGTAATTGTTACTCATGTACGTTGTTGGGTTGCTGTGACATTGCTTCTGTTAGCTAAAATAAAAATTAAGATATTAAATTTCGCATTAACAGTGATGCATAATTAACTGCCATCGTCCTTCTTCTTCCTTTATCCTGCTTATGTCGCAAAGCGTCGCAGACGGGAGTTAGATCTAGTTTCCTTTCTTCTGATAGTTGTAAAGATTGTGTTAATGTCATACTGCGATTCTGTTGTCCTTTTTACTCCCTCCACCCATAACTTTCTTGGTCAACTTCTCGACTTGTAGCCTGCTGTTCTTATGTAATACGCTCTAGCTGCTGGCTGATTTTGTTCTATTCTGACAAGATGACCAAACCATTTGTTTCCTTGATGCTCCACAAAATCATTTATCGACACTGGGCCTACCATTGTTCTCAGTTCTTCACTGGTGACTCTTCTTGTGTTACCCGCTGCATTTCTTAAACATCTCATATCACGTCATTTTGCGTTTATGTTTTTCAGTAGTCTGCTATTGCTTTCTAAACAGTCGGCTCTCGAAGCCACAGTTGACAACAAAGCAAGGCGGTCTGCTGCCAAATCACCCACACCTGGGATCAAACCCGGCACCACGGAGCTGTCAAGCGCGTTCATAACGCCCAAGCCACAGACGTCGACAGGTACACACACACACACACACACACACACAAATGCATATTTATATATATATATATATATAGATGAATATGTGTGGCTGTGTGTTTGTATGTATGTATATATATATATATATATATATATATATATATATATATATATATATATACACACACACACACACGCACAAATGCATATTTATATATATGTATATAGATGAATATGTGTGTCTGTGTGTTTGTATGTGTATATATATATATATGTATATATATATATATATATATATATATATATATATATATATATATATATATATATATATATATACATACGCATATATAAATGAATAAAAAATCACACTAAAACTTACCTTAGTCAGTGTTTCTTCTTTCATTGTACCCTCACTCAGGCCAGACAATATTTTCAGCCGATTTCCAGGGGCGATTCCCTGTTTTCCCCGGAGAGAGCAGAGCCACCAGCCTTCTAAACCTTTGGTGTTCTGTTCCAAGACAGTAAGCACTTCGCCTCTGCGAAATGCAAGCTCGTCAGATGCCTCAGCCACGTTGTCAAACAAAGCCTTGGCCAGGAATCTGATGCCCTGCAAGAGAAGGATCAATGGTGGCAGTTAGATGTGTTAATTAGTGACAAGGTAATTACATAATTGAGTTCATCGTTGCATGACACTGACACTGATAGCAAGAGTATCAACACTTACTTGTAGCGGTGGTGGTAGTAAGAAGTGTAGTAATAACAGCTGCAGTAACCTTAAAATCGGTAGAGGCGGTAGTAGTGGTAGTAGTAGTAGTAGCAGCATTAGTAGTAGCACTAGCAGCAGTAGCAGCAGCAACAGCAGCAGTAGTAGTAGCAGCAGGAGCAGTATTAGTAGTATAGAAGCAGCAGCAGCAGTAGTAGTAGCAGTAGTAGCAGCAGTAGTAGTAGCAGCAGTAGTAGTAGCAGCAGTGGTAGTAGTTGCAGGAGCAGTATTCGTAGTAAAGAAGCAGCAGGAATAGTAATAGAAGCAGCAGCAGTAGTAGTAGCAGGGGCAGTAGTAGTAGTAGTAGTAGTAGTAGTAGTAGTAGTAGTAGTAGTAGTAGTAGTAGTAGTAGTAGTAGTAGTAGTAGTAGAAGCAGCAGCAGTAGTAGGAGTAGCAGCAGTAGCAGCAGTAGTAGTAGTTCCCAGAAAAGGTTGTAGTAGTAGCAGTAGTAGATTTTTACTCCACTTAGACATCACACAAACAATAAACACCCGATGACACAAAGTGCCACCATGTGGATGAGGATCACCCGTGGAAAGGTCCAGGAAACCGCGTTCAGCCATTAGGAAATATTTATGGCCGGGCTATATTGCGGCCCCTGGCAAGAGCCAGGGTGGGGCTTCAAAATAACGAAAAATTCCATCCCACAAACGGATGACTAGAATAACAACACTGTACACTCAAATAACGTCTGGGCCCTAGTGAGCCCACCCCGAGGTAAAGTATAAAAATGTGTTTTACCCGTCAGCACCCCCCCCCCCCACCCCCCACGACCACGGCTGGCACAGTTTGTCACAACATGTGCAGGACACACACTGACAAGACAGTTTGCTACGAAAGATGACAACAAGGAAGAACCGAAAGATAGCCAAGTGGCAAACAATGAGACGCCCATCGGAAAAACAAAGCTGGGTAAAGTCGTTTGTTTGGAGAAGGGGCGTCACTCTCCAGACCCTAGTTTTCCTTAATGTCACATATGGGAGAGCCGCCGTGGGGTAGTGGCTAGAATTCGAACGTCGTGGGCTCAGATCCTGACGGAGCAGCCTTTTTTTTTCCCCGTAAATCACCTTGGCTTCCATGTCGACCCAGCCTCAAATTATATATGCAATGGAAGGCTACAGTACTGTTTGTTTCAGACCCCGTGAATTTTCAATGAAATCATCATCAGGTAAAGGTGGCTGGTTTTATACTCACCACATCACCCACCGAGTACTGAGATGTGTATACAATTTAGGTCTAGCCCTGTATGCCCAGGGAGTTGCCGTGGCAGAGCGGCTAGACGCTCGCCGCGGATCGGAAGGTCGTGGGTTCGCTCCCTGGCGGAGCCGGACTTGTTCAAAAATGACCTTGGCTCCTAGGTCGACCCAGCCTTGAGTGGGTACCGGGTGCAGTCCCGGGAAGTAAAGTCTGACCACATCACCCATATTGTGCCGATTGGTCTATAAAATATAGGTCTAGCCCTATATGCCCTATTCGCCTATAGGCGTGGAAAAGGGTCCTTTGCTTTTTAAGAAGAAAAAAACTGTTACATATATGCCAAATACGCCTGAAGACGAGAAAAAGGGTCCTTTTACTGTCTAGTCATTCATTTCATTTTCTGATCGTATCAGTATGTGTCTCATGCGCCCGCGGTCTATTCCTATCCTGTGCTAACACCGCAATATCATGGATAGAATCCAGTCCAGCACCTTTGGCTTCTCTAGTCAACGTTCGCTTTAGGGTTTCTCTTCGACGTCCTTGTTTCCTCAATCCCTTAAATAAAGACCCACATCGGCTGTAGTCAGGGGTGGGGGTGAGGGGGAGACAGGGGCTAATACAACGTGACGGTTAGACAGGGTTGCCTGTACCTCATCCGGATGGATGGTAGCACTCTGTGTCACTGGGTGTTGGTCATTCGTTGTAAATAAAAAAACGTGGCGAAAAAGGAAAAAGAGGGGGGGGGGGGAATTAACTGGCAGATAAGCATTGCCTTTTGAGTATAAAGTTCTTGGGAAACTGCGGCTGTAAAAAGTGATGTTATATGCAAATTATTTATGCAATGGAAGGCTGCAGTGCTGTTTGCTTCAGACGCCGTGAATTTTCAATGAAATCCTCATCATCATCATCATGCGCTGGTTAATGAGAGGGAGAAAATATAGGGGTGACTACAGTCAAGGTTTTTAGTCAAATGTCCCTGAATTTAATGAGAGGGAACATAGTTGGTTATCTAGCACGGTCACCAGGACCAACATCTCTTGGCTAGTATACACTACATAGAGCAGGCTTCATATACCGCTGCCTTGGCAAAATTTCAAAAAAAAAAAAAGAACCGAAGAGTTTTCCAGGAGTCTTCACACAACAGTGACGTATGGGCCATATCATGCCAGACCCATATTTACATAGACCAATCTGCACTCATTAGGTGATATAAGTAACATTATACCAGCTGTACCTTGCTTAATTCACAAAACTCTATCTGGTGCCCATTTTAGACTGGGTTGATCTGCATCGTCAAAGAACAACAACAACAACAACAAAAATAGATGTAAATAAGACACGCTTCATGCATTATTATACTAACCGTTAAAATGAATCCTATCACCCTTAATGTTGTGTAAAAGAAAGTATATTCTCTAGTATCATTTTCATACGTCGGCGTCTGTGGCTTAGGCGTTGCGAACGAGCTTCGTAATGCCGGGGTGCCGCGTTCGATCCTAGCTGCGGGCTTTGCGCTGGTTTCGACAGTGGTATCGAAAAGCCGACCGTCCTGAAAGCAATGGCAAACCAATGGACGTAATTTTGCCTAGAAAAACCGCAACAGCCAAAAGATGCTGGGGTCGGTTCTGCAATGTCCTATAAAGATACGCAACTAACTTTATAAGTATCGTATTTATACGTCAGACAAAGTCGGTGGGAGTGACGTCATTTTAACTATAAATAATGTTTAAGTGGTCGAATGAGACAGTGACTTGGGAGCTGTCTCGACCAGTGCTTCTCAAACAGTGCATTAGGATGGCATTGACGGGTGGGGTGAGAAACGAAACAAAATAAGACAGCCACAATGCTCAAAACTAAAACATTGTACACGTAACGACAGTCTAATGGATTGTGGTCGGTAGCGGCTAGAGGGTCACCTCCTTGCTCAAAGTACTTGAGTTCGAATTTACCTTTAGCCGGAGACCAAAGATAATGTAAACGTCAATGTTATAGCTATTTCGGGGAGATCAAAGACAACAGGTTGGGCACGGTATTTTTTAAGGACCCTTTCTAAGCCTTCAGGCGTATTGGGTATAAAGGGCTAGACCTTTATTTTATAAACAGCACTTGGTGGGGGATGTGATCAGCATTACGCCGGCTGCCTTTACTTCTCAGGACTGTACCTGGTACCCAGTCAAGGCTGGGTCGACCTGGGAGCCAGAGTTGTTTGGAGAAAAAGTCCAGACCCTGCTAGGACCCGAACCCACGACATTCCGATCCGCAGGCGAGCGTCTAGCAGCTAGACCACGGCGACTCCCAAAGATAAGCTTTGAGTTGTTATTATTATGTATGGCCGGGGCAGAAGATCACACTGAAGTCATTGTTATGTGTGCGTGCCTGTGTGTGTGTCTGTCGTTCAGGAATAGATAAGACAATGTAGCAAATAATGTTATATATATGGATTTTGGGCTGGGAAAAGGCTAATGTATAAGCCAAAGCTGTGGTGGTGGTGGTGGTGGTGGTGGGGGGGGGGGGAGGAGGAGAAGTAAATGTCTATGTCTGAGGGTTTTGAACATTGGATCAACATCATGGCAAACGGGGAGTAACCCATAAGTGCTTTTGTTCTTTTAACTCAAAGCTGATTCCGAAGAAACTCAGCATACTGCACGGGCTCTGTAGCACCGTCGAGGATCCTGAAATACTTTAGGTAGATTTTCAACTCAAAATTTTTGCCCCGGCAGCGCCGTTAGATTTTTTACGTGCTCAACTCGGGCGTCCGATCTCACTACACAGAGTCCAGAGGGAATTACTAGAAATCTAAGTCCACGAAAAAAAAAATCCTAGCCCTTACTGGGGATTGAACCCGGAACCTCCAGCATTCGAGGGGGATACCATGCCTAGAGACCACACAGCACCCTAAAAATGCCCCTAATGTTTGTGTATATAGATATAATGTTACATATGACTGGAGCAGAACTAAACGAGACACATTTGAAAGAACGAAGCCAGAGAAGAAGTATGTTTTACATATAGTAAATATACATCAATGACAGGGCATACGTTTTTTGTATAATTGGTTGAGTCATGACGTCTGTTATAGCATATGATGATTTTAAGTAAAAGTAAATAAAGGACCCTCTTCCAAGCCTTTAGGCGTATTGGGCATATAGGGCTAGACCTATATCTTATAAACCAATCAGCACTCTGTGAGGGATGTGGTCAGCATTACATCGAAGCCTTTACTTCCCATGAATGGACGCGCTGGAGTCAATGTCATTCTTGAAAAAAGTCCGTATTTTTTTCAGTTCCAACCCACGATCTTCCAGTCCGCAGGCGAGCATCGAGCCGCTACATCAAGGCGGTTTCTTTGATTTTAGTAATTAAAAAAATGGTATTCTTGCACAGCTTGTGGCGACTACACTAGCCATGCGGCCTTAAACCCTCATGCTCTCCACTCCCTGACTTACGTCGCCCTAATAGTGGTGAGTAAATATAGGGAATAAATATAGTAGGTTTCTTTTAATGACCAAGGTATGCTACGTGCAGAGTGGCAAGCATCACTTCAGATGCCCTAGGTAGTTAGCAGCTTTGGATATTTTCTCCAGGTCAGGTCAGGCCGGTGTCTTAGGAAATTAGCCGGCAGATATACTGGCCGTTTTG